CTACTACTACTACTACTACTACTACTACTACTACTACTACTACTACTACTACTACTACTACACTCCTACTCCTACTCCTACTCCTACTCCTACTACGACTCCTACTACTACTACTACTACTACTACTACTACTCCTACTCCTACTACTACTACTACCACCACCACCACCACCTCATTAGGCCAGGACACCCTGGAGTTGTTTTGATGGGGCACATGCTTATTGAAATCTATTGAGTCTCCTGGCCACAGTTTGCCCGGCGATCGGGAGTTGACAAATCGGATCCATCTTCGTCGACCTCCGTTCGCTTCACCTTTCAACCGGCTCAACAGACCTCTGAGTGGCGGTACGGGGCACGGCACCCGGACAGGTCTTGACCATGTGTAGTAGTCTATCCGATCCAGGTTGGAAAGCGTCTGTGCGGTGAAAAAAAGGGAAGACATTCTGGTCTTATAGAACTTATAGTTCTCTATTTGCTGAAGGAACCTGGAAATGTAAATTCCATAGAAGTGATTCGCCAAATATGATAAAACATAGACAAAAACATAACCCTGAAAACATAAATGTCATGTGTCCCATGTTTTGCTCCGTCCATTAAGACATCACCTTCTTCCCATGCAGTCAATATGAGTTCAATCTATGTTCACGATATCCATATCGGAACCATGTGTGATGCGTTCACCTTCTCTTCCCTCATAAAGCACCTGATCTTCACCAGTTCTTCAAATCGCCGTTGCCACCCAGCAGCTGGCCATGAGCAGGTTCGGTGGGACGCCACGTGAGAGGAAGAGCCAAAAGAGACATCCACACCTCGGAGCTGCGACGGGGCATGGAGCTGGCGACGAGGCAGGTCAGACCGAACGGCGGTGGGGGTGGATGAACAAAAAAATGAAAGTGGTTTGGGGATGTTTGGGGTGGTTGGTTTTGACATGTTGAACCCTAATGTCCATCTATGTCCATCTATGTCCAGGCTTCCACTTTGGAACTGAACTCACACACTCCACTCCGCCCAAATGGGATCGAGGGGAAAATCGCTCGCGATTTGTGCCCGCGTGGCAACACAGGTGCATCCATTCATTCAAAGTCATGCCGGTGGTGCAAATGAGGGTGCATCATGTCTTCAAGGGAATGAGCGTTTCTGTGAGGACTCCCTTGGTGACCTCGCGTTTCCTCAGAGTCTTCTGCCTCTGAGACTGGTGGAGCACACCGGACCACATCAGACCATCAGACTGGTCGAAGCAAAGATCCTGACACCTTTCATGAAGACCCTAGAGCACCCGGATCTAAGTGGCTCATCTGATCTCTTCCGCGTGCCCAAGTCTGATTTTTCTTATGACCCCCGATATGCAGGCAACAAGTAACTATTTCTGTCATGGCGTGTCCATTCGATGGCTTTGCTGAACCCCAAGACTAAGACTGCCCTGCGCCATCAAAAAGCATCACGGCGACGGCTGTGCAGGACAAGAGGCCCTGCGCCCAAGTAGAAGGTGATCCAGAGTGCATGCTCACTGGCGAAGGTATTGGAGCGAGCACCTCGAGCGTCGGTCCGATCGATTGCTGTGGGTGTTCAGTCCTTCTTGGAGCAAACATAGCAGGATGCCCCATGCATCCACTACCACCCTCTGAGAAGCTGATGGGATAGACTTTTGTCATGTACCTTCTGAGAAGGTATCTGGACTGCTGTGATGATGACTGTCTATATACTTGGCGTATGTTGGAGTGGTTTTTTCTCGAAGAGTGAAACCCCGGTACAAACCAGGTCAGAGCATACCGTTTGGGACTTCCCTTGAAAAAACTTTCCGTTGCCTGGCTTCTGACCACTGCAAACGTCTTATCCACTCGCACTTTGGCCACCAACAAGCTGAGCAGCTTAGCCCAAGCTCCCAGCCACCATTACTGCCGAAGGCGTCTCCCAAATGTACCAAAAATCACACACAATGGCCCTCCCCGAATGGCCAGTTTACAGTCTTTCCCAGACCTAAGCACAACCTCCGCATCCATGTTCCTTCACTTTTTCATGCTTCTTTTTTTTCTGCGGCCAAAGGGGCGGACGTCCATGCTCTTCAACAAGGTCTCGCCCACGGGGGAAAAGATGTAGCCCAAAGCAATGACCTGATTGGGTCCCCAGGAGACCGGGAGAGTCCACACCGGGAGAGTCCACCCGTTGGTCCACCCGTTGGTTTTTCGGGTCACCTGAAAAGGCCAAGTGACCAGAGTCTCGAGATGGCGTTCGGAACGTGGGAGATGTTTAAGGGTTTCTCCAAAGAAGGAACCATCGTTCATATGTCACTACCAGCACCCGACTTCACAGGTCACCTGCGACATGTAAGTCTGCAGAAGATACCAGAGGAGACCTGTTGGAGGGTGCTGGTATATACTTAAGATCTTACGGGCTTTTGGATGCTTTTGGGGGTTCTGTCCAGGAGATTATCCATCCCCGCTGTTTCACTACCACAGGCCCCACCGAAACCAAGGTAGACTAGCTTTGGTCCAAGCCAGAAAGCATCAGCTTGTAGGGTCAGCTTTCCTTCGATAAGCTTTCCTTCGATAATTACGTGGAATTGGTGGGTCCTATGTAATACAGATATGTCACGTCTTCGTAGCTTTAGCTGGAATTCTTTGGAAAACCACGCCTTTATCGTCCTCTATTAGTAGTAGGAGTTTTGTTACACTTCAAAGCTACCAAAAGGGTCCACTCACGAATCAAATCAGGTCTGCATCGTTAACAAATCAGGGAACCGCTTGTTATATAACTCCTGTTTTTGGAGGATCAACTATCCAACATGTGTTTTTCATATTTTCTATCATTGGGTTGCCGTGTCGAGAGAGCCGTTCCTCTGCTTTCTGTCCAGTCCGGACCAGGTCAGGACCAGCGTCGAACGGCGCAGTGAGCGTCTGATCCCAAGACTCAACAAGCTCCAGCCGCTTCCGCTTGCGTGTGAGCCGTCGATCGCCGGCCCACGAGCGATATGTCACCCCCAACCGGCTCAAGAGACTTCAATGTCCTTGCCGTGCCATACTGCCTACCTCCCCTGCCCAACGCGCGTTAGCGCGCGCGTTAGCACGCACGCTCAACAGCGTCCCCCCGCCCCACCGTTCATCGCTGCCGCGGTGCCAAGTGGATTCGGAGGCAAAGGCCCCGGGCGAAGGGCTTCATCAACCACTGCGTCACGTGGCTCCTGCCGCCCATCGCCGCGGCTTCGCGCGGCTTCTTCGGCGACTTCGTGGCTCCGGTGGTTGGAGCCGAGTGTTTTCAGTAGAAACGCTATTGGGTAGTCATCCATGAACGGAAACGGGATGGGGGTTTTGTCATGGAATCATGCGAATGACGTTTACTCAAGCCCTTGGGATGATGATTGCCAACAAATCCAGGTGCTAAAGAACCTAAACATGGCCACCTCCAGTGAAACCCACGCCGGAGTGGATCCAATTTCGCACCCTCCCACTCCAGAGAGGGAAACGCGACGTGCGCCTCTCAGTCAGGCGCTCATCGGCTTGGCAAATCCTGAGGCAAACGGGGAACGGACGCGGTCGACTGGGTCAAGGATCCTTGCCGTTGAGGGATGTCATATATATAATCTCATCTTGAAGTTGAAGAGTGAACATGGAGCATTGGATGAACATATTGAGAATTCGTCTCCTAGATTCAAAATTCATATCACGTTTTATCTGTTTCTATCTGCTTGAGGATGCCTGTACCCCCAACATGTCACAGTCAGCATCTGTATTGTACCATATATGCAGTATACTGTATCAGTATACTGTGCCACTACGGTATATACCTCATATCGTTATTGGACTCTTGATTGATACCGCCCCCCCCCAAACATGGATTGAAACACCTCTTCACTATAATGGCCAAGTTTCTTAGATCAATTGATTTTACCACTGGGACGGAACGAAACACCTCCTCTCTGTGCCCTAGGCCGTGCCGGCCATGCCGGCCGCCATCTAGACCGAGTGGACCGAGTGGCTGGCTCTGCAGCTGCTCGGAGTCCTTCACCTTGCAATGCCCAGCCTTTGCGGACTGGAGGAACTCCCACCTGTTTGACCGGCCGAAGACGAAGGCATGTGGACTGGAGGACGAACATGCATTCGGTGGCATGTGGACTGGACTGTGGACTGGTTGAGGTGTGTTTACTCGATGAGCTGGGTTTGGGGGGGAAGAGGCAAGAGGTGTTTTTGGTGTGTTTATGTCCAGTCACGTCAATGAAGCAGTTTCATAATAAGATCCAATACAATTAGTTCACTCATGTTCACTCCTGATCCCTATACAGTGGTCGAACATGGTCGAACCTTGCTTCTTGCAAACCCGACTTCCCCACACTGCTGCAGCGGCGTTTTCCACCGCATGTCGGTCCGCCCCGCGACGACACGGTCGATCTCCCGTCCGGGGCACTTCATGAGCTCGTGCGTGCGATCGTCGCTCACCGGCTGGGTGAGGAACTCCGCATCTCCATCGATGTCCTCGGGCGCGTTGTCCCGTCCCGTCCCCGGTGAAGGACGCACAGCGCCGTGGTTCCCGCGTGGTGTGAACCGCGGTCCCGGACTGCCCACAACAAAAGCCCTATAGAAGACTCCGAGGTCTATGCCACAGCCTGAATCCTTCCCTCTATACCAGCACCGGACTTCACAGGTCACCACCTGCGACTTTTAAGTCTGCAAAAGCCACCAGAGGAGACCTGTCGGAGGGTGCTGGTATATAGTTCATATTTTAACAATACGTGTTTCAACAGTTTGGTTTAACAATACCTGTGGCATCCTGTGGCGATGTTTTGGCTTAAAAACGTAGTTCCCTCATTAATGTTGTAACAGTTTATTTTTTCATGCCCAGCAGCCTCTATGGTCAAAAAGTTAGGAAGATGTCTATCTTCAAAATAGAAGGAACAATTATTCAAATCTATATGTCAACCATTCAACAACACAAATATGGCTCAGGGGCTGGCTCAGGGAGATCCAGGATGATTTGTTCAAAATTCTAGAGGCACGATGAAATGGCGCCAAAACGCAACAAAAAGAACCAGCGGCTTTGGGCCTGAAAATGGAACGCGCACCACCATGACCCCAGAATCGTACCACAAAAATGGTGCAACGCAGCAGTAGCATGCTCGCTGTGGGTGCTCGGTTCGTTGTGGTGACTGTGCCGAAGCTTGGATTTGAAGGAACTGACCGAACCTCACCGAAAGCATTACTATTTTGGCCTAAGGATCCACCTTCTCAGAAGGTCAATAGGGACCCTCCAAAACGACATAACAGTTTATTCAATCGGGATGATGTATGGATCCAAAGAGGGGAGCTTTCTCTTTGGAAAAGGCACGTGCAAAGGGCGTCTGGAAATTTGTGCAACGCCAAGTCTTCATATATTACTCTACTAATTTCTAGCTGTCTCCATCACCGTGGGAGTTTTATCATGGTAGCAAAATGGCACAGAGCCATGTAGGGCAACCTGGGCCAGGACATTCTCCTCGCCATTGACACACCGATTCTGCTTACAGACTCAGAGGGATCTGCCAATCTGAGATTGATACACTCCCTGAAACAATCATGGAAGTGGATGGCATCAAACCCTGCTCTACATAAAGGATCTACCCACTTCCATATCCGACATCCCATTGTCTGACTCATTATCCATCCGTCGCCGCCAAGGGACTAGCACCCGCATCTTGTGTGCCACCTGTGCAGGGCAGGGTGGGATGAACATCTCATCCGATTCGGCGACACCGAACCACGCGCGGTGTTTTGCGAGTTTGGGCGGTTTGAGCCGCCTGCACGGTGTTCGGCGTGATTCCTGCTTTGCAGCGAATCCAAGAGACCCACTTGCCACACCTCAATTAAAGGTGATACTATACCCTAGGGTTCCGACCACCCCAGAAGGTTGTTGGGGTGGGTTTGGGGTCTAACCACCTCTGAGGGTATGGTTGGAGCCCTAGGGATACTTCATATATACAGTGGTTCAAGAACTCAGGGACAGCTGAGAAAGTGCCCAAATAAAACTTTGAGACAATGTTTGAGAAAATTAGCCCATGCTCGGCCAGCAAAGCAAACATCCCGACTCTTTGACAAGCTTCTCTGCCAGCTCCTACGGCCGTATGTATACACATACCTAGAACCTGAAAGACCCTGATTTTGGAGGATCTTACTAAATTAATTTTCAAAAAAATGGTCCCTTCCTATCAAAAAGGATGCCGAACCAAGCCAGCCTCCCAAAAAAAGTGCAAACAACTCCCCGCTCCCATCTCCGAAGACACTACCAGGTCGTATTCCACTGTCATCCTCTCATGGCCGCATCCACCACATGAGTAATGGATAGTAATGGAGAAAGTCTTTATAGGAACCTCTTCGAAAATGGGAGATGGGGAGATAGCCCCTGGAACCTCTTCCCATTCCGAACCCACCAGGAGGGGGGCCGCACCATTCTCACATGGGAATATCCAAATCATCCTGGCCGGGAGGATTTCCCGCGTACGCGCGCGCGCCTGGGCGGTGGAGCTCATCCGCCGCAGTGCCGTGGGCCTGCGCGGTGCCATCGTGTCGCGCACCACGTCCTGAGCTGCCGGAGGCGACGGAACCTCGACCAGGTCCGGCGTATGTTTGGCCGTGTGCCCTGCAAAAGGACATGTTTTTTTGAACGGTGTTTAAGGAAGTTCATAAGGGAAAAAGGCATCCAAGTGTTGTTGCTTGAAACCCCAGCTTTGTTTGGAGAAGACTAAGGAGGACCAGAATTGAACATGAGGCTACATCAGAGGACGAAGCTACTGACGAAGCTCTATTCACTGAAACAACATGAAGCAACGCTGCTTCCCAAACGAAGCGGACTTGTCTCAAACCAATAAATTCCAGCTCAACAGCTTCAGGGTTGGTATTTTGCTATGTGGGTCCAGTGTGTCTCATGCTTGGTGAGAACAATCTCATTCGGAGGAACATCGGAACGCGTTTTTCTTGGTGAATTACAAAGTCGCCTTGACTACGAGGTCGGTATACAGACATCGATGAATGGTGTCCTTGGGTACAATGCCAGCTTAAAGTTAAAGAGTGTGTGCGGTTGCACAAGAATAGAACAACTGTTGAATTCAACCTAAGGTCGCAAACTCCCCCGTTTGGATGGCACAACAATTGTTGTAAAACGATTGTAACATTTCTTCATAATGGTGGGGGGGGTATACTTCTGCAGTCTACATTACTACATGACATGGAAAAGAACCTGTTTCTGTTCTTGCCGCTTTGGCATTCGTTTGCTCTTGGAGAAGTGGACTCCTTGCGGAGGGAAGCCGGAAGCGTGTGGTGTGCATGTGTGAGTCAAGCGTCGAACTTTTGCTCCACGTCGAAGAGCAGATTGGACTCGGAATTGGAGTAGGACGAGAAGTTGGTGATGGCTTTGGAGTAGGAGCCTTGGCTTACAGCAGCGAGAGGAGCCTTCGGACGCCTTCGGCTTCTCTGCCGGAATGGCCCCTTCTTCGGCTTCGCCGGAATCACCAGACCATGCCTGGTAGATCTGGTACAACTGGTACGAGGGAACTGGGAGAGCAGGATTCTATTTTGGACAAAAACAACTAATTACACCAAAAAACAACTGGGACAGCAGGCTTCTGTTTTGGATGAACAAAAGCTACAGGCTACAAGAAACACTTCTTAGCAGCATCGATCTTCGGCAAAATATGGCAAAGATCTATTCGGGCAGAGTCGGGTCAGAATCAAGGCCTCACCTCAAGTGCGTGGGTCTGTAGGGTTTGATGGTGAAAGAGTCATGCTCAATAATCATGGAAGTGGAAAACCACCAGTCTTCTAGAGGAAAATGATGGAACATGGTCCTCTTCCATGATTTTTTAAGGGAGTGCATCTCTGGATATTTGGACGTCAGGCGTTGGGCTTTGAAAGAAAGCTCATCACCAGGTATGATGTAGACGTTGAGAATCCAGAACAAACACAATGGTCTTGCGGATGATGTCCTTTTCACCTGCCGGACACACGGACACATGTCTAACATCAAGTGTCTTTCAAATGATGCGTCTTTCTCACCTGCCAGAAACGTATCTAAATAACTACAAAAGTTGGATGGCATGTTAGATATGCCTGCCATATATATATATATATAGATTAACACTACCCTGCCATATATGCCATATATATATATATGATTCGACTCTTCCGAACCTGCTCGTCCTCGCCGATACTTGCGTCTTTTCGCCGCCAAGAGACCCAGGAGGTTGGCGCGCCAGGTCTCAAAGGGGAACTCCGCCTGTGCTGAAAAGCGGTTTTCACCCGTGGGATGGAATCAGATTCTCAGCTTCGCTGTTCAAGCGCCTGCTTTTTTCTTGTGCCACTCGATCGACTCGGATAGGCACGAAGTCTTTGTGGAACACCCTGGGGTAACCTACTGAATTCCAGAAGAACCCAGCTTTCGCGGTGCTGCTGCGGCCAGAAGCGCGATCTACTGACAACGCCCCTCGACCGGAGAGGCGAGTGAGGAAGCACGCGGTGTCTGGCCTTGGTGGCATTCAAGGCCATCTCCCAGTACACGGGGTCTGGCCTCAGCTGAACATGGGTGTTGCTCGGTTCCTTTGTTTTTACGACATTCTCAACATGTCGATGTGCAGGACGATTTGATGACATTTTGTGCTTGAACGATGTTGAACGATTGAATAAGGTTGAACTATGTTTGAGCTTTTGAACAGTTTGAACGTGTTAGAACCTTGCCGCGTGCCGTGTAGAAGCAGCCGATGGACGGCCGATGTCACCCAAGTGGCAGATTCAGGGCATAATCCACCGAGCAAAAGAAGGAGTCGATCAACGTCTTGGAGTCGTCGCTGTTTTGCTGTCGAAAGTACACACCTCGTCGAACATTTCGGGCGTGGAGCTGAAGACGAAATCGCTGGGGTTTGTCGTATCATGAGGAGAGAATGTGTGTATATAGGTGGGAATAAGTGGGATCACAGCACCGGGCTTGAACATGTGCCTCAAGAGGACATCTCTATATATGTCAAGGAATCCTCTTGTAGGATCATATATAAGGTCCACCAAATCAAAGATACTTTTCTTGCTATCAGCTTTAATACATTATATGAGTTATAAGTAATAGACCACTGCACTCCGGTTTCCCCTCTGTCTCCACCTACTCCGTCGACTCTGTCGACTCGCCTGGCATCTTGCCGAGGCCGCCGATGGCGGCGCCCACCGAGGGAACGCCCAGGAGGCCGAACTCCACGTCGACGTAGCCGAAGGGCTCCGAGCCTTCGGAGGCGCCGCCGGAGCGGCGCTTTCCGGCGGACGTCGCGGAGGGATCCGAGTGGCCGGCGCCGGATCCGAGGTGCATGAAAGGCCAAGGATGCGAACGGTGTGGCTTGGCCAGTTTGGAGGATTTGTTGAATGTTTTTGGGAGCTGGAGATGGTGGGGATGGATGTTTCGGGGTGGATAGCTGGGAGCTGGATGGTTTTTAGGCAGACATCAGAAAGTTTTGGCGTAGGCGTGGCGGGAACTGATTCAATTGGATCACATCTGACGAACAGATTCAGGAAACGGTGAGAAGTCTTCACCAAACCATGTCCCAATCTCTACTCCATCTCTACTCCACCATCCACCCACAGCTGGAGAAGAAATCCCACCGAAGCAGGGTCCAAGCAGGTTCCTGCTGTTCCCGATCCCAAGCACGCAAACGACGTCACCAAACAGTCACCCGTCAGTGTGCTCAGGGTGGTCCACGCCGGTGTGTGTGTGTGTCACTCTTTTTCGGAGGAGGGTCCCACCGGTCGGTCGGCCGCAGCACTGCGCGCCGGCCTACCGAAGCATCCCCAACCGGACCGGACCGACCGTGGTCACCCGCACAAAGACAGCGCGCCAAGAGACAGCTGGGTGTGAAGCACAAATGCGCGCCCCGGCGGAGTTCTTCGGGAAGCCTGGCGCGACTCCCGCGGTCTGAAGGCCGGCGCCGACACGTGGACTGCAGACTGCAAGTCCAGCTGAGATGGGGGACATCGGCATCTGCATGCTTAAAAGCACACAAACAAAACATCACACACGATCAATGCATCGAGGATGCTTGTGAATTTGGCACTTAAAAAACGCTCAAAACAAGAACCTCTCGGAATAAAAGTCCTCCCACACAACGACCTTTCTCTGATCTTGGTCCTGCATTTTCCAAATGGCCACTAGACTTACAGGCACACAGTCAACCTGAGTGTCGAAGTTGTGCCAATTGGTTAGTCAAAAAAATGGGTCACTCCCTGCAACAGGGCTGGAAGGGATTTGATTCACCCATAATTACATGGGACAATAAAGAATCAAGCAAAACCATGTTGTTTGTCCCAAACAAGGTATCCCTTCCTTCACCTCGGTCTCTGATCTGTGCATGCCTTTCATCCAAGGTCCGCTCACCAGATCCAGTCTATAGGTCCCACTCCGTTCGACCTCCTTCGACGGACCGCACCGAACCGAGTCGATCGCACCGAACCGAGTTCGCACCCGTCGCCCCCCGCGGTTTGGCTCTGGCTCCGACCTGAAGAACTGCGTGCACACGAAGAGGCGACCCTTGAAGTCATCGCCTTTTTCGACGTCGGGCAGTCGAGTCGAGTCGAGTCGAAGAGTCGAACCCACCACAACCGGTATGGCCGGAGCCTTCGCTTTTTGGTGAGCACGAGGAAGGTAGGGCCTCCTGTGGTTTCAGAGTTGGCACAATAATTCCAAAAGGGCACCAATAGAAACAATGTAAAAAGCAATCTTGGAACCTCTGAAACAACTGTAGATCACCAAGCTTTGGCGTCGTCCGGCTTTCTGTGTTGAGCTTTACGTCGGTCGCGCCATCGGCCGGCGCTGTGCTTTGGAGGCGACGGCAGGGGAAATCGTTTCTGCAAAAGGACCGGAGGCGACTTAGGAGATGTGTTTTCGTTGGCCTTTGCGATGGAAGAAAAAGGAAGATGTCCCAAAAAGCGAGGAAGCATAGATGAAGGCATAGATTTGCATGGTCTTCTGGTGACGTGCCACGGGGCTGAAGAAGTCTTGTCTTAGTGCATCGACATGCCAACTGCTTGGATGGGCTGTAGGACCAGACTTTGCCTGTCAAAACCACCTGTTTGCATGCCAGAATTGACCCATCATACCAATCATACCTGGATCTTCCAACTATGCAAAATGTATGCCGAACCTGGCTGGTTCGATAGATGAAAAGGCAATGATTTTGCCTAGTTGGAAGACTCAGGATATGCACATGGGAAGATTTGTCTTCATTGATTCCATAGTTGGTCAGCTCCGCCATGGATGCAGCACCAATGCAGCACCAAACAACCTTGAAATCTTCCATCCAAATTCCAAGATCCTTTGAAACATGTTGAAACAGGTCCAAGGTCCTCGATGTTCGATGTTCAGCAGCTCCCTCAATCCGGTGGTTCTGAACGCTACCCCCATCGACCTTCAACGATGTTGCTCCAGTCCGGACCTTCGCCTCTCGCCTCAGACCCACGCCGGCGACTGGAACCCGAACCCGGAACACCGTCGCGTCGCCGCCTAGCGGCCTAACTGCTCCAGTAGGGTTCCCGCGTACAAGCCGCAGGCGTCGTCCGGAGGCCCCGCCAAGATGATCTGCACCTGGAGACGAAGGTGGTTTTAGGGCGGGCGGTCGACCAGGCGCCAGGGACGAAGAAGACTAAGAGAGAGAGGGAGAGGCAGCCAGCCAGCCAGCCAGCCAGGCAGCCAGGCAGGCAGGCAGGCAGACAGGCAGACCGTGTGGCATATCAGGGTTCCGAGGAAGAAAAAGAATGGGCGAAGGGATTTTTTGGGCGGTTGAGCTGTGCTTTTTCTTTCGATCTGTGCTTTATTTCGGGGCAAGACCTGTTGAAGGGTGAACTGCATCTGGCGGTTCAAAGAACATGGAACCTGTATAGTGTGACAGTGGATGTTGTTCTACTTACCGGTATACTCACCGCACCAATCCAATTCAGGGGCAGTTGTCGTTTCTCACCTGCAGAATGCATCCGCCATCAGCCCAATCTGACAAAGAAAAACTGTGTTGCATGTGATTTCAGTGCCATCAGGATGGTGGGTTGAAGAGCATTGAAAAGCCATAATCAACCTCTCCCTATGGCCTGTTGCGGTTGTGGAACCCCCATCCAGGATATGCTCCCAAGGAAACTCCTCAGTTGTTGTCGATATGCCAAGAGCTATAAAGCTTCCCCTAAAGAGAACATCCTAGCATCTTATGATGTGAAATTTCGATGAATTCACCATATGGATCCAGATGGCCAAGGATCTACAAGCCACTTCGTGCTCCAAAAAGTGGCGGAACCATGTCCGCGCCTCTGGATGGCTTCGCAGAAAGGCTGGCGTGAGCATGGCGATGTGATCCACACCCTTCCTGACCGAGGAAACGGCCAAGACGAAAATGGATGATGTGCAGGTAGTGCAAGCCAGAAGGATTCGGAATTTGTGTTTTTGGTTAAGTTAAAAGGTCTTATAGTCTTTACTCCCAACTCTTGGCCACTCCTACAAGCACCGGAAACGCTCTCCAAAGCCGCCCCCAAATTTCATCCCTTGTCCCAAACTAAACAAGGAGTTTGGGGAACTCTCTATAGCTCCTCGTCCTTCCTGTTTCGTCAAGAATATCGATACCTCCAGATCCGTCGCTTCCTCCTCAGAGGACCATAGCTCTCCCCCTAACAGTCACGGTCTCTCCGTCTTCGGACCGACCTGTCACTCCAGGGGACTGTTTGACCCATCGTCCAATGAAGATCAAGATCTTGGCGCCCGGTTCTTGCTCCAAACCTCAGACAAACCGGAAGCTCATTCCGCCAACCGCGCCGGTGCCGGTGCGACGACGACGCTCACGACGCTCAGGTAACTAGTATCAACTAGTCACCGAGAACCGGAAGGTCCACGAGAACCGGCAGAGCTTCAGACTTTTCTGGTCGGATCTGGTGGGTGGAGAGGGTATTTGGATGTATTTGGGAGGGGTCGACGGTCTGTGGTTCGTTGGACAAAACGGGCGGAGGGGGTCCGATTCGATTTTCAGGCGGATTTGAAGGGAATGGACAGACACCATGAAGGCTGTGAAGGGCTTGGCAGACTGAAGGACTAGTAACACATAATGTAGTAACACTACCCAGACCATCCATGCATGCCATGTGTATATGGAACATTTACCTGGCAATGACCCCTCAGACCACCTTAATGTAAACAGGTCAGAAGTACTATTTTTCAAGAGAATCCGACCTGCATGTACCAGCTGTTGGGTGGTGCGTAAGATGTATCCACTCAAAAGCGACAAATCATCCAAGCACCTGTGTCTGTCAGGAAATGATCTCTATCAGCTTCTATCAGCAGATTTGATTTGCACTGGTGGGGAAAGCTTCACTCTGTCAATTCTAGAAGCTCTCACCCGCCGGACAACCAACACATCCACCACTGGTTTGGGCATGACCTTGTCCAACGGCTCTGTTTTGGACTCCACAAACCCGGGCTCACGGCGGCCCCCCGTGACCTCCTTCCCGCATTCCACCCAAGGGGCCGCAGTGCTTCTGCAGCTGAGCCTTGGCCTCGGAGCGCAAGGTCTTCAAGCGGTCGATGGAATCCTCGACCTCCGCGGGGTCCGTCGCCTCGGAAGACGCGTTGCAGCATGCGACACCTCGACGCCTTCCTTCGGCGCATGACCGACGCACGCCTGAAGGCGGGAACCCCATCATCGTCCACACCTTCCCCAACCACGGTGCGCACCTCCCTCTCACTGTATACACATGCAGCGTCCAACTCGCCCGCGCACAGCGCGAACGACGGGACGGGAATCGCGCGGGAAATGAAGGTTGGGGGCATTGTCCAGGCTGATCAAGTAGGGCAATCCGGCAAAGAGAGTCCGTTCGCGCTTCAGCTCCACCTCGGTCAGTCGAGTTGTCACATGCTGACTCCAAAGCTAGCCCTATGGAGTATAGGGAACATGAACTACCAGCACCACGGAGTTGGGGTGGTTTATAGACACCCCTGACTATGCCTGGGGTGGTTCCTTCCAATAACCACCAGAAATCCGTGTCCAACTCGGTGTGGAACCTGGCATGTACTGCGATGCTTCGGCAAAATTGCTGACTGGTATTAATTCCAAATGGAACATGCGCAAAAAGAAGTGGGCTTCCTGATAAGGCTGGGTCTTCCAATGTCCCAGATTCCCTGCAAGCACTACAACCTGAAGAAACCATTGGAAGAGAGCATGAATGAATATGATACACGTCGACGAGGATCAGTTGAGCTTTTGACCGTGGATTGACCCAACGTGGAAGGGACAGGTGTCCACTCTGTGAATCCAGGCCCCTTGAGCAAGCAACACAGAGGGGCCCTGGTTCGGGTCCGGACCCGTTTCGGTGGAGAAGGTCCAACCCCCTGACCCCTGAGGTCGGGCGCGTGTAAGGATGGCGGAAGATGAAATCTGACATGCAGGTCAAAGAGACCTGGACCTTCCAAAAATGAACAGTGTCTGCCCTTTTATCAATCAAACCAGCCAAGTTAGGCAGAAACTTAACACGTCTAGTTCTTCCCTTTGTATATAGGTTCTAGGTGAAACAGCAGCGCACCAGCTGTGCGGCTCCGTTCTCGCCAAGCCGCCGCGTAGTTCTCGGACACGGCGCAAATGCCATAGCCGGCCTCGAGCTTTGACCCACCGCTCCGGAGAATGGTGTTCTTCGATGTGGCAGCAAGTTTGACCACTTTGTATATAGGTATACCTAGATCTTCCAACTGTGCAGAATTTCTGCCTTTTGGTTGGGTGTTATGCATGAAAAGGCAGAAATTCTGCACAGTTGGAAGATGCAGGTATGGTATAGCAGGGAAATTTAAACGAGCCCGCAAGTGGTATATGGCGCAATGCCTGTGCCACCTTACACAACTCATGCTCGCTTCGGCCCACAGTCGGGAGGCTTGCTCCCCGCTTCCAAACATAGCCATCCAAAGCATCCATGGGACAGGAATCACATAGCCCCCATTGACCCCCTGAAACCACTCCGATCTGTACCAGTCCCCCATAGTTGTTGCTGCTGGCAAAATCAATCAATGGTGGACCAGGATCTTTGGGAAAAAATCCATCCATGCCGTGCCTTGTTTGTTTACCACCTCACTATATACGCGGTCATCGTGCCTGGGTCTGCTTGATGTAGGTCACTCCTGCTTTCAGCATGTTGAAGCGCCCTTCGAACATGCAGTAGCGCCGCACCACCGACACCTGCGATCTTCACACGGATTGACACCGTGGGGGTGAGTGACATCACTCAGGAAAATGCTAAGCCTAGGATCGATCCACCGGCCACCTCCTCAGGTTCGGTACGACTGGACTAACTCCCCTGGCTCCTGCATAGAAGTGTCACACATTACCTTCTCAGGGTATGTGGATCCATAAAGAAAGGCAAAAAGAAACCGAGTCAGAGACCAAACTCATCCACATGTGTCCAAATGGAGACCTACAAGTAGTGTGGGGGTGGTCCAGCCAGGTGACCCCATGACCGCGGAAGCAGCTGGAAGAGGTAGCCATGTGCAGCTCAAGGCAGAGGCGAGGGCGGCACCACTGAGCTCAAATCCAAAACCCTCAGATGGCCTCTGGGGCACTGGTGAGACTCAAATAGAGTCCCAAATAGATGAAAACATATACAAAACCACTCAAAATGTATTGGAAACCGTGCCACTATACGACTATACCTATTTGTGGATCACTATAGAGGTCGTTGCTGCCACTTGCGACCGGAGGTCCTTCGTTCCTTCACCTCGATGGGACTTGCGCCGTTCCGTCACCGCACCCGGCGGCCTTGAGGTTGAAGATCAGGCTCAGCCGCCGCAGCTGTGTCACCGTCTTCCTGAGCTTCGCCCGCGTCGCGTCGCGTCGGGCGTCGCGTCGGGGATTCGCGTGCGGCCGAAGAGAGACGGACGAAGGGCGCTGGGCAAGGAAGAAGGGAATGGATGGGAATGGATCCTAAAATATCCATGGTTATCCATGGTTTTTGGGGGGTCATTCCCCTATTCCCTGCAAAGCCACCAGTAAGAAAAAAGCACCAAAACCGCTGTGCCAATACATTTGCCGAGGCTGTCACGCCCGGACTGGGCTCCAAGTAGCTTCTGGGAAAGTGGGACTTGGGGTGGGCAAAGACCTTCTGAGCAACTGGAGGTTTAGCGAACTGCGAGGGGTCCGGCCGTTTCGCCGGAAAAATACAACAAAAAACATCATTTACATACATCGACTGTCCAGGAAAACATCAACAAGGGGATTTGCCCATAGAGGAAAATAGACAACCTTAAGCAAAACCAGGTTAAGGTTTACCTTCTTCCACTTGGAAAGAGAACGCACGTGTGTTGTGCACCATTACGGCCTTGCGTGTCACATAATATATACTCCCAAGCTGCTGATCGCACTGCTTGCCCATCGACCTCTCAGAACCCCTCACCCATCAAATCTACCCACTGATATGAAAGAACCAACAAAGAGAACCGTATCATAGTTATATCTCATCCCATTAATGTCTAGTATGTATATAGCTTTATACCCCAAATGAAACCATCCAAATCTTCTCAACGCCTTACCGCCTTGGTCGACGTCCCGCTCGAGTCTCCAGAAGCGATCGCTGATGAACTCCGTCTCGATGACCTTGACGGCATCACCATGGGCCCCACCCGCAGCCCCGCCAGCTTGGATGACTTCTAAGGTGTTAACTTATTAAGCAAAGTTGTTGAAGGAGGCTGAAGAAAGACATGGAGAGCAGAAGCACTGATACCATGAGCAGGCAAGACAGAACAGTGAAGGGCAAGCAAGTGACTTGCAAGTGACTTGCCTATCCGTGCTGAAGAACTAGCCTGCCGGGTTACGTTTGCCTCTACAGTAGACCCCCTGCAGGTCAGAAGCTGGAGTTACACTCCGACGAACACATGGCACCCCCGTTTGTAAAAGAAAGTCGTCTTCCAAGGGATCATGCCATCCACTTCCATGTTGGTGAGTCAGAGTGTATGTCCAAAAAAGAGGTTTTCAGGACCAGGTTTAGCTCAGTGCAAAGATATATCAATATAGCTAGATGAGTTTGAAGCTTGGAAGTGCCGCACAGAAATCTCCATGCTCCAACAACGTCCGGCACCTGAAAACTTGGGATAGCCCACCTGAAAGGTGTCCAAAGCTTGACTGGTTCTTGTGGAAGCGGCACTCATACAAAAGCTCTTAGCCGACAAAAACCGCGGCAAACATCAAATAAAAACACACACATAGCTAACTCGCAACACGGCGCACATAGCCAAGGGTCTCCCATGTAGTCGGCATTGTGCAAGACCAAGATGATGGGAATCTGCTCGCTCGCCTGTGCAAATGTGATTGAAATTGCGTGTTCCCAGCAGGTCATACGAAAGGAACGAAAGTGATCTCTTCCAATGAATAGCTAGGTGATGCAGGGTGAGCTGAACCACGTAAACTGGACATTCGCACCATTCCTGAACATGTAACATACACTGCTTGAAACAATACGTGGAAACGGAAGTGGAGTTCTGGGTCATTTTGCCAGCCACTTCCACCAGGGCCGGATTCCAGGGATCGTCGATTCCTGCTCAACTGCTCGTCGACAACCACAGCAGGATAAAACAAAAAGACACTGACCCCGCCAATTCAAACCTGAAAGAACCCCTTAATGGTCGACTGAGGGTCAACCTGAAAGAGGGTCTACCAACCAAAAACATCACGCCGATCGCTCCCGCCGCCGGATCCTGAGCCGGCAGAAGGGGGCCTCCAAGTAGAGGGGCGCCAAGGCGGCATGGTAGTCCATGCAGTGGTAGATATCCGGCTTCAGCCTGGCGGAAAAACTGAGGGAGTGTGGTGGTCTACTTTAACAAAGGAAGTAAACAAAAGAAGCTCACAGGTCCTGTGTGTTTTCAGAGTAGACGGCACGAAAACGGCACTTTTCCCAGAGATGACTTGAAATGATGTTTGTGATCGTATGGTAGTCCACCGACGGAACCGGATCGTGTCACCGTTCCGAACGTGGAACAGGAACTCACGGTTCCACGGGGTCTCTTGGGATACAACCACTGGTGACTTCGGAAGTACACGAGCCATTCTAGCCGCTGGATATCATGAATAGTATCAAGCCATTAAGCCATTGGTTTACACCAATCCACGGATCCACCTTAACGTGTCACGAGTTCGTTACGAGACTCGACCCGACCGGATGACCAGCTAGTCTAGTAACTCAAAGTTGCAGTGTCGAACACATCACCTGCTCGAAGGGTGGCAGTCGAAGATTCATAGGGTAAAGGATTGCCACATAAGGATTCATTGCCACCAAGGGTAGTGGTCGAATCTGGCTCGAAGGGTAGAGGAAAAACAGACCACCAAATGGATGCTCTTCGGATGTCTGAAGATGGCCCGTCTGTTTCAACAGCTCCGTTGCGTGCAGGAGTGCGGTGCTTCCCGGCCTCCGGATGAGCATGGCAGTGGCCTGGCAAAACACGCGTTTCAGCGAGATACGAAGGGGAAAAGGGGACCTGTCTTGAAGATAGGATGGCATCAAAGAGTGTCCGAGAAGTGCTTGCTTCAGTTGGACTTAGCTGCAATTAGGAAGGTTGAAAGAATTTTCAACGTGAAATTGACACAGTGAAGATTGACCGTATTGAGGACTTAGTTGTTTGATTCATCATCACTTACATAAACGTTGATGAACATGCGCCTTCCATGCAGTAGAACCCGAATTCCATCATTCAAACGGATTTGGTGGCCTGAATCTTAAAGAACCGGGATGTCACTCAACGTAGACGTCTTCTTTAGTCTAGGGTTCTGTGGACGAATTAATGAGCTCTCAAATACCCAAAGTTCACAAACATCGTTATGTGCCGAAAAGACTTGTAAATTCTCCTTGCATGCTTCGAGCAAAAGCAGCCCGCTTGTGGCTTGGGACGAGGACTTCCTGTGCCAATGGGAGGCTCAAAGGGGTCTAGGAAATGCCATGAAATACAAAACAAAGCCTCTTTCCCGTATTCCAAGCGTCACCTAGCTCTATGGTGTATGATCACACCCACTATTCCGCCGGATCGCGACCATCTCTCTCGACCGTCCCATATCGTGCAGTGTGCGGATGATGTTTCAGAGCACAAGTGTCCTATCACAACTCGATCTAGCTAGAAATGCATGCATGAAAACCACAGCTATGCAGCTATGCTCCCTTAAGGATCCACATACTGTACCTTCTCAAAAGAATAGTTGGACCCTCCTGGCTCCTGCATCAAAAGTGACAACCCTTCTCACCCTTCTGTATGTGGCTCCAGCTCCGCCCAATCCCGGGGTGCCGGGCCGAGAAAATGACGGCAGCGGAATCGAAGAACACGAAACGAAAGGTCCTCCATGAACCCCTCCATCTTGCCTGGTTCCACAAGGAGAAGTAGCGCAAGGTCCTGCGGACGTGACGTGACTCCATGGGACTCCAATGAGCGATCGATCGATCTGCTGTCGTTGTCCCAGACGTCTGCGACTTATTGGGCACCTATCAACTTCAACACTTCCTCAATTGTCCTATAAGATTCACTGAAAACATCGAACACCTCTGCATCGGCTGGACCCTCGTTTCTGAAACACAAACAAAAAAGGCCGATCCACACACACACACACACACGTACCTGTCAACCAAAAAATTGTTCAGAGGTTACCATTTCCATGTGACCCACCTTTTGTCCCTTTCAAGACCTTTCAACTTCCCTCCCCCAAAAAAGAAGAAAAATGAATCCACACATTTGACGACCCGCCTCAAAAACATGCCGGCATGGTCCAGTATACATCCGCTCACCCACTCGCCGACCCACCCGGAAAGTCTCATGACCCACTCGCAGTCGCAGACTTCTCAACCCCGACTCACTGGCCTCACTTTGGTCATCGACGGCGGATAGGGCGAGCTCTTGACCTTCTCGGTGAAGTACTCGTGTTCTCAGCGGCAGCGGAGGGATGCGAGGCGAGGCGAGACGAGGGAGCTGGTCCGGGAGAGGGAGCTTCTCAGGACTGGACAGTGGGAAAGAAATAGGTAATTGTTTGTTTAGTAAATATCCATGTTACTATATGAAGAAGAAAAAGAAGAATAATAAGAAAAAAATAAAAAGAAGAAGAACAAGAAGAAGAAGGTGAAGTAAGTTCATGCCAAGTAAGTGGATTCACCGAGCAGTGGTCTGTGCAGAGTCTATGCGGGTCTATGGAATCTATGCTGGGTGCAAGTGTCCTCATCTACCCTCGAGTGCTTCACCTGGCCGAAAAGCCCGAACAAACTGACTGGAGCACCCACTTGCAAACATCCTCGCACATAACATGCAAACCCCGGAACCGGGTTCCCTTCTACTGGAGGGTCTTTATGATTTCCCCTAGATACTATAGACATCTATAGACTGGATGGCTCTATACTCCCCACTGGCGACCATCCATCCATCCATCCATCCATCCATCCATCCATCCATTCGTTGGGGTCGTCGCTCATCTGACCACCACTGCCCCAGCCGTGCCAAGAGACCCAGGATGTACCAAACTCGCTTGAGGCCATTCAGCTCGCTCTGCATCGTCCAGACCGTGATCCTGGGACAGTCCGTCAAGTGAGGTGCTCTTAACGTCAGACCTTTGCTGTATACTGACTGTCAATCCCAAAGCTTTCCAAGAGCACTCAAAGAAGGGGGACCTGACCTGGTCTTGTGGTGTATGTGTAGGGAATACCTGAGAGAAGATACTGGGACCCTCAGTTTGTACGTATTGGACAGAGGTACAAATTGGATACACAACTGTCTTTAGAGTCCTGACGTATCCACTCCCTAAACGACCAATGGGTAATGCGTTGACTGCATTGAGCATGGCGAAAGAATTGAAGGACCCCTTTTTGGTTGTGAATCTGTCCCAATGGCTCCCATGTCACACTCTGGCATCGCAGACAACTGTGACATCTCCCTGTTGACCAAATCAGTTACCAGTACTGTAAAGGTATGTATGTATATAATATAGACGTATACTGACCTCCAAATTGAATAGACAAGAATGCGGAAAAAAATAACAACTGCTCTTCGCAAAAAAAATATGAGATTGAAAAAATCAGCGATGGATGTTTTTCCGTTCGCACCTGTCGTGTCTTGTTCGGCGTGTCGTTCAATCAGCCGAGGCGCGTCTGTTCCTTCCCATCCACCAAGCACGCCAGCTTGTCAAACTCCTGCGCGGACGACTTGCTTTGCACCATTCACGAGTTGAAAGGGAAATCCTTCTAGGATAATAAGTAACAGAACTCATAATATGTCTTACCTGGACCTTCTTTCGGGGTGTCCTGTCTGGAGGCTCCTTAGTAGTGGGCTGAGGCTTCCAGCCAGGTGACCATACTTCCTTGGGATCCACATACCGAACCTCAGGAGGTACGACTGGGCCCTCCTGGCGCCTACATAAATAGTCTCCCACCTTCTGAGAAGGTACGACTGGATCCCTAGAAACTGTATATACTTGTTGATTCATACACCAAGCGACCGGGGATTGACTCTCGTGGTCGCTCCCCGCAGCTGAGAAGGTGGAGGTCGCGAATGGTCGCGACCACCGAAGCTCCCGAATCGGCTCCGAATCCATCCTTCTCCATCCTTCTCCTTTCTTCAGAACCCCACCAATTCCTCCAATTCCGGGATGTCTTTCTCACGTAGACTCTTGATGAACAACTCTCCCCTAGACATGGATTCCAAAATCTCTTCAGGCCTGCCAGGTAAATATCATCAAGAGTCTACATGATTGAGCGCTCTCGCTTCCAACAAGGTCATTGAAGAGGTTTTTACGATCCAATTGGGCAGGCTCTATTCATGTTTCATGAGCGGTTGCTGTGAGTTTTGTCTCCGCACATATCCGCGCGGAGCGAACCGGCCGGGAACCGGGAATGGGTCGATCGAATGGTTCGAGTCTTCCCTGGAGGCGGTCGCTACAGGCAGGTACACTGGAAGTTGGGTTTTCCTCCACCAACCAAGTGGGTGTTCAGGGTCCATGTTGGTCCTTCCAGGCTGTAGAGAAGAAACCTGAACAACTGCTGGAAGGACATCAGTGCCTTTGTGCTGGACGTTCATCCGAAGCGTCATGAAACTCGTCTTTACTTGCGTGTGGATTCTCCGACTCTCCACAGGCATTTGACAGCTATGTTGCTGTTGAGACGAGCTTCTTATCGCGCCAAATAAGAGGTGCAAATACGTCTTAGTACTCTTGCATGTTCAAGCCCATGGGTACTTTTAGTTATATGTTCCAGCTGCTTTCCCAAACTCAAGCCTCGTTTTCTGCCTCATGTTCCGTGTTCTATGGTATACCTTCTTCCACGTTACCATTGGCTGTCACATGCTTGAAAAATGCGTGAAACTCCCTGTAACACCCTTTCCCAGGCCCCACACCCCGCAACACATCTCCCCCCACACCACCAACCATCCACCACCGCCAACCATCCACCAACCATCCACCAACCCCGCCTCCAGCTCGCCGTAGTTCACATCCCCAAACATCGGATGCACCAAGCTCATGGTGCACTGCGCGACGACGAGTGCGACGGCGAACGCGGCGAACGGACGGGTCCGCGGACCAGGCCGCGGTCACGAGAGGCTGACGGTGTGTGTTGGCGGCCCGAGGCTGGAGGTTCCGGGGCAGCTATAGAGACATGGGGAATTTGGTGAGTGTTGGATTGGAAGGAGGCGTTCCGAGAAAAGAGAAGTCTGCGGATGGAAGCCGGTGTTTAAAGCCAATTCAACCCCTGCCGCTCCACGCTCCGGAGCAAGTGGGTCAACCCGGTCACCCCAAGAATACACAAGAAGAAAGTGCCCAAAGCATGCACAGGGCTCGTGGCATGTGTTCACCGTCAGGCTGCTTCTGGTGGAGTTGAATTAAAACCATTGATTGCACCGTGAATTCTGGTCAACCCATTCAACTTCCAACAAGAACAGGCCTAGCCGCCCTGAACCCGCTGACATGTTGAGTCTCCTCCCTGCGCAGTACACTCCGCCGCGCAGGAGTTAACTCTCACACGCATCGCCGCGCGCATCGCAGCGCCTGTGGATGTTCGCGCAACATCTGGTCCAGCACCTTCCCCAAGCCACCGGCACTCACCTGACGAGACGCCCGGGCGATCAGGGCGACCAGGGCGACCAGTTGGAGGACACCAGGGAGCAGTCGAGGACATGGCTTCAACGAATAACACCGTTTTCATGGACTTTCATGAAGGGTTTCACATGGCTTCAACGAATAGGAAAAGACCAGGAATTCATATTCGTTCTTGGTGCCTATAGGAATCTTCATATAGTTCATTGGTGCCTAGGATTTTGTAGTTCGAGAAAATCCCCCAGCAGTAAAGAAGAATCCTAAAGGTAAGAAAGAGTTCTGGAAATCGAGGGAGATGTCGTAAGTTGTCTTTATAAGAAAGCTCACCCTCGATTTCCTCCTCCAACAGCAATAAAACTATTGGGTATTAACAAACCAAAGACTACCACTCATTTTATAGCAGTTGGTTGTCGGTCCTTTCTTCCTCCACCATCATTAAGTTTAATAAAGCAAGGTCCTATGATCAGTAAAATGCATGATGGATGCTTAGGTTTTTCGTACTTGTCCCTCAAGCGGTTCAATCTTTGCAGACACCATGACCACTGTTGATGATTGAAGGGCTTGGATGTGTTGGCGGGGGCCCCGGATGTGTAAGGGGGCCCCAGATCTGTCTCTTTTCGCGGCGAACGAGGCTTCGGCTCCGCCACGCGCCTTGACGCCTCGCTCTGGGATGGTGTGCTCGATGGCCGCCACGATGACGTGCTTGGGCTCCACGCGAGGACCTGAAGATGGAGACGTCCCAGGGATGCCCAAGCAAGGTGTCCGGGTTCACCTGTTGGCCCCTTTTTGCTGATTTTTGGAGTTGTTTTTGGGTTTGCTCACTGATCCACTATCTTCTTTTTTCTGTGGGTCAAACGGGTCAAGATGCCAATCCCGGTTTTGTATTGCACCTACACCACACCGTAAGGAACGAGGGCCGGGAAAGAGTTTGCCATCAAATGATAAAATTGGAAAGAGAGGATTCAGGTCTCTATTTCTTGGATGCGCAAACCTACAGACTGATCAGACTCATCTTATATTTGAATTGGTGTCACTATGTGTCACCATCTCTTTCCAGTCACACGAACGAGTCCCATACTTTCGGGGTACTTCTTTGTCTAACTGGTGCGAAGAAAGGCTAAGGAATGAGGGTGGCTGGATCCAAAGGAATCTCGTATACTAAACATTCCCTCATTTCCTACTACAGTAAACACATCTAAACATCCGTCTGTTGTTTGCGGGCTCATTCCGCGGTTCTGCCTGAGATCCGCATGATGTTGGGCAACGTGGGCTCCTGCACACAGAGACCGTCCACACCAGTTTCGGAACAAAGGACTCGCCCGGTAGACCGCGACAGATTCGATTTCAACCAAAACGCGCACGTCTTTTTGGCTAGGACGTTTCGGAACCACAAGTCTGCCTGACTTCACAAACCAAACGATTTGAGCAGGTTTTGAGAGGGTTGTGAGCGAATACGTACGGGTCCATCACTTACTCAATGCTGCACGGCCTTCAAGTACTCGGCCCCGACTGCTCGGTGCAAATACGAAAAATCCCGGGGTGGCAGGGTCTCCCGGGGTTTTTGAAGAGAATTTAAAAAGGGATATGATAGGCTTGCTTGCTCCAAAAAACAGTGATAACCATGTATATAAGAACCTACAGCCAGCTGGATGATTGATTCTCCTTCTCTGTTCTCCTCACAAGACAAGGCGCATGGAGAGAAAGGGTCCAGCAGTACCCCTGCCACTGGGGGAATCGTTTGGGATGAGGAAGGTCACCGTGTGAGGTTCGGTTCCAAGCGCAAGCGCCCCGCTTTTAACGCGGACATCCACGGGTCGGATGATCGACTTCCATCGCCCCTTGGATGAACCACTTTCCTCTACCTGCAGTCACGTTCGATGGGGTGCGATCCATGGAGGAAGTCGGGGTGCCCGAACGTCACATCCACTCACGTAAGGGGACGTTTCACACCACCCCGACATGTGACTCCTGGTAAAAACACGTGGTTTCCACGTCCACTTCCTTGTTTCCACGGAGAGTACGTAGCTCCCGGCGTTGTGAAACGAACTGATGGCACATACGTCTCTTGTGGTGGTCCTTCACGATGGATAAGTAGATCTTCGTCCGGTAGTTCCATGCCAAGATCAGCACTGCCAAAGCCTGGAGGACACGCCGGTCGGGAGCCAACGAGAGACGAAGTAGAATGGATCGCATGGATGAGTGCGCAGCTGCGACACCACCCAGCAAAGGAAAGAGAATCACCCAACTATTTGTTGGATCAAAATAAGGTGAGATTCAAGATCGGAATCTTAGGGTCCACATGATCTTAGGGGATATGCATCTTGGGGATCTCTTTTGGGTCGACAAAGTGTCTAACACTAACACGTCTCATCAGTCAACCCCAAGGATTCATCCTACAAAATGACCATCCCCCACTGCTGTTGAGCAAATGACCTGACCGCTGTCGAAGAAAGCCACCCAATCCCGGAACTTCTGCAACACACGGGCTCATACACCTTCTTAGCTGATCCATGCAATGCAAGAAGACTCACCCTCCGAGGGTACCACCATTCCGAATCGAATGCTTGGATTGCTTCCAGGGTCTGCCGGGACAAATCGATCGATTCCCCAGGTTTGGGGGAATACATCCCAGTTCCGGAACCTCACCAGTCACCAGGACCATCCGTTGATCTCCTGGGTTCTTCCCGTTGATCTCCTGCGACGTGGCAGACCGGACCGGACTCGACCGACCCACTGAGGTCTCCCAGCGATCCATGCCATCACCAAGCCGGCGGTGATCCACATTTCCTGAGCCCGCGGTTTTCTACGAACGAACAGGGATCGGACAGGGTGAACACGTGGACGTCGGATCGGAGATCGGATCGGAGATCGGAAGATGGACAGGATATATGGCTGATGGAGCTTGGAGGAGTGGCATGGCATGGAGGTGGGACGAGTGCTGAAAACTCAAAGCTCCTTAGCTGGAACTCGGGCGACAGGAGGTTTCTGACACTGAAACTTTTGAGTGTAGGGGATCCAAAGTTGTTACATTCACTAGGACTTTGGATCTTCACTATTCGGTAGCGTGGGTAGATCACTGGATCTGAAGAAACACCATGCTGATAGTTTCTCTCATGGAATTCAGGGTGGTGGTGACTTCAGGTACAGGATGTTCTGCTATCTTCCTGAATGCTCCCCGCGTTGGCAAAGAATCAGACCTCGCAACCTGTGGCCTGGTGTAAGTGTCTTCTCTTGCCAGGGATCCTTTTTGGATCACTATTAAGACCATAAATATATAGTATAACCTGGTTCTTCAAAGTGACCTTTTGATCTCCCGGTTTGAGGTCACTTGGGTCTGTAAAAGGAATTTAATTAGGTCACTGGATGGAACTCCCAAGAGGTCACGAACTGAAGAACCTGGTAGATAGATCACTGGATCTTCACAATGCCTTCCGACTCCCTCAGTTCACCTCTTCATTTTGCCAGTGGAGATGTTTCTCCAAAAATGCTTTTGGCAGGTTGTACGGTTGTACGTCCACTTTTCCTGGGCCTTTGGGGAGGTCTATTGGATATACATTGGGCATGGTATATCCCGTTGAACCAGGGCCCAGTAGATGGACTGGATATACCCTGTCAGTTTTGGAGAAAAAAAACCAAGCGATTCCCACCGTGGATCCTGCCACCCCTTGTGGCCCCCGTCTCACTCCACACCGAGCTTCGGAGCGGGCCGTCTCACTACAGGTGTCACGCCTCGGTCGCCACCGAGCGGTCGAGAAGACATCGAGCGGGAGGTACGGTCCGTGCGACCGGGAGTGCGGTAGTAGACGGTTCACCGGTGCGGTGGAAGTGCTCCGGATGCAACAGAAACCAGACATGAATTTTGAGGACCAATGGCACCAGTTTGTCCAAGTTGGAAGGTGTTATTGGATGATGGGCCTCCATTCTTCGCAAGTCATATGGGGTTCCAGTGCCATCGAACCTCTGAAACCAGTACCGCGGTCCTGCCTATTTGGACGGTGCGTCCTTCTCATCGGTGCCCAGGATACAGAGGGTTTCGAGATTCCTTGAAAGCCATGTCAAGCTCCAGCAGGGGATCCGGCGCCAGAAATCCGCCCCACCACGGTGGCCACGGACGTAGAACCGTAGTTGTTGAGGTCGAAACGAAGCCACGGACAAAGCCCATGGAAGAAGAACTATATCATATCCTTTTTTAACACACAAAACTACTGACAAAGCATACCTTTTACACGCGACCAGTGACCAGTGAGGAACTGAATCAAGATGAATCAAGGTGTAGGCACGCGTCTTTCAACACAAGTTCATGAAAATGGACACACTCACATTTAAGAGGTCGGTGTATGTGTTCTATGTTTGTCTTTTGGGTCTCCATTTGTTTCACTTTGTTTCGTAGTTCGACCAGGCCATGCCTCTCCAACACACGGCCCCGGCGGTGGGAAACACCAGAGAAGCATACCAACAACTCACATGTTTCAGAATGGCCTCCAACAATAGCACAAGTCAGAACAGCACACTGACCAACAACCAAGCACCACAAGTCTTTATAAGCACCGAAACTTGTTCATAGTTCAGGAAAACGGGCGATGGCACCCCTCAAAGATGCTAACACACAAACAAAATTGCAACTGCCAACAACACAACAAACAGAACAGCAACAAACGTTCATCCTGGTATCAGCCCCAGTTTCCTTGACACAACTTTCAGTATCCCTTTCAAACAACAGTCCGCTAAAACCAAACATATTTTTCCAATTTTAGATCCCACTTAAGGCTTAGGTGGAACGTTTTGTAACGGCCTAATAAATACATGTTAAACTGCTTGAACATGCAATATTCACGATGTTGTTGCCCTTTTATCCATCAACCTATATGCATCTTCTCTTGTTGTTGGATGTGTTTCATCTTCTATGTCTTGCAGTGAACTCCTGATCCACATTTCAAATTAAAAAAAAAAAAAAAACAAATACATTCCGGCAAGGCCGTGCTTCCCTTCACCTGATTTCACCTGTTCATGTTCAGGGTTTTGCTTGGGGAACCGCCTAGGTTTCCCCCGTTTCATGGCGTTTAACCCAGACGCTCGGTCCATGGGACTGGATGCCGCCCCATTGGCCCCAACACCACCCCAATGGGACTGCACATATGCCAGTCCCAAACTCCCCGAAGCATCCGATCTCTTCACTTCAACACAGCAAGCCGGGAAAAAGGCGGAGCTTCCCCACCAAGCCAGGATGAAGCGATCGATCTCGCATGCGGGAGGTCCTTCGTTCCCCCCCCAAAAAGCATCCCTTTCTCAAGGCAAAAAAACGCACAGACCTCCCGAAATCGCTCCCCCATGGCTCCCAAGGATGCATTTATTGGCATGTCTCTTCTAAGTGCGGTCTTCTGATCGACAAAGGGGACAAACATGTTTTTGACTGTCTCATTGGGGTGTCACTATCAAGATCTAAAGTAAAGGCACTCTCAACAAGTAATCGATACATATGTTGCATCCGACCCTGTACTATAAGAGGGTCATTCATGGGTAAAGGCACCAATAGAAGGCACCAACGACTCTCTTTGGGTTATGACTGGCACGACTGGCTCGACCAACTACCATCCTCCCGCGGCGGCGAGACCGACAGCGTTCGGACATCCGAGGAGACCGACATGGGTGCCAGCTCCACACCACGGCACCTCAGCACGCCGCCGTCAACGGGGAGCTCGGAGGGGTTGCTCCATGGGGAGCTCGCTCGCTTGGTTTCGGTGGCCACGGCCAGAAGGACCACCAGTGGTTTCACAGAAGCGCGAACATCTATAGAAACGATATATAGACTTATAGTAACTAGACGACGGTTGGCCCGAGAGTGAGAAAGGTGATTGTCAAGCAATTCCGAGTAAGGAAATAGTTAAAGTCGAGTTGTCCAAAAGCCATGACTTCTTTATACAATCTGTTATTGAGTAAGAAGTTGCGAATAAATAAAATCCTAAAATATTAAAAGAAATGATATGTAGAACGAGAGAAAGAGAGGGCGGATGTGAAGGAGTGACAGTGTGGATGTGCAGGTGTGATATAGATGTGCAGATGTGTGGGTGTGTGAAGGTAGAGAGGTAGATCTCACCTGGCACCAGGCCCAAAACAAGCCAGTCTCACTTCAAGTTTCCATGCAGCCTCACCAAATCAAACAGTAAAGTTTAACAAGGATGAAGCGCACATAAAATACATTTATGTGCGCTTCATTCTACATTTGTACTACAAACTGGCCACTTCTGAGTCCAGCTCCGAAAGGCTCTTTCCCGCACTACATTTGTACTACAAACTGGCCACTTCTGAGTCCAGCTCCAAAAGGCTCTTTCCCGGACTACAATTTGCACTATACAAACTGGCCAGGTCTGAGTCCAGCTCCAAAAGTGAAGCGCCAAGTCTCCAAAACGCAATCTCACCTGCATTTCGCGCCCTCGACACGCACGATCTCCGCAGAAGGTTCCGTTTCGTAGTGCCCCGGCGGCACCGCCTCCGCCTTAAGAGAGAAAGAAAAGAAGAGCGAGAGGTGAAGATGTGAAAATGAGCAGAGATGTGTGCAAATGTAGAAGATGTGCAGATGTGAAGATGTGAAGATGTAGATGAGACGTAGTTCTACAGATGGTTTTTTACGAAGAACCCTTCGCAGACGCTCTCGGGAATAACAAATTTGGAAAAAATCCAAAGGGTGTCCAAAGGACTACTCTACACGACCTATAGGGATCTCCGTTGAACATGCATTGGGTGGTCCAGGTAAATGAAATTACTGTTCGTTTATAGAAGTGTTCAAAGTTTGAATGTCCAAGGAAAAACTCTGGAAACCGACTAATTTTTTGGGATGCCCAAGCCCCGGGCCTTTCGCAGGTCATGATCCTCTCTTCTGCAGCGCAACTCGTCTTCACACCAAAGGGGTGCGTTCTTCCACGGCGCCAGTGGCCAGCCGATAAAACACCCACCAACAGCTGGCTGCTGCTCTCTATGGTGCATAGTCCTTTACGTGGCCCGAATCGTTCATCATGTTCACCCAAAATGAACTGCATGGATAAATAACTCCCCCTGCATGCTCTTTGATCCACCCACCGTCGAATACTGCTCTGCTCCAAACTGCCCTGCTTCTGAAAAACACCAAGGGATTGGCTGCAACATCCGGCCACCGAGTCCCCTTCGTCGCCCCCAAAATCCCGACCCGACTCGGTCACTGGGATGATCACCGTTGGTTCGGCTTGATCTGGGGGTGTTGTTCGGATCGGATTCATAGGATCGGAATCTTTAAATGGTCAGATCGGAATCGCAGGAATGACGGGCACGTGCTAGGCAACACCATCCCGACCATCCCGATCATCCCGACCGTCATCCTCACTGATCTC